AATCGTTTCGGATCGTATCGTTCTAAATGAACCATATCGTCCTTGAATCGTATCGACAACCACGAATCGTGATACAAATCGAATCGTTGTTAAAACGAATCGTTACACCCCTAATATATAAGCTTTCAACCATAAGACCCACCAATAATTTAATTATTTTATAAAAAATAGTTTAACCTGCTTTTTTGCAATTATCACTGATAATCACTGCTTTCAAGTCTGCCTATGAAAATGCCATTTTTGTTACAAATGTAACCAGAGCCATGCACAATGCACATCAACTAATAATGATCCAATTCTGTTATCAGGCGATTTATAGAAAATTAACAGGTCTCAAACAATCTCTCAAGCACAAGCCCACCTGCTAGTGAGCATCCAGATAATCTTTACATTTCAAGTTTAGCCAACTTGGATTATTTGCTCGCTAACAAGGTAGAACAGTTGAACTGTTATGAATACACCCTACTGTCTGCCTCCCAACTGTTTGAATAACATCGCCTGTTCACTTTGTTTAAGATGTTGTGAAATCAAGTGGCCTACCTGGATAAGAAGATGCTTATTTCTCACGATGAGAACGAGTTGCCGATTTTCCTTATACAAATGCATATTTTTATGCTCATGAACACATTTTATAAAACCCAGACTAGACAGCTAGCACGTTAACAGTCGGACTAAAATGCTTCTAGGGGTACGCTGTACCCGCAGTGAAACTGAGCATGAATTCTCATTGATACTCCCGTCTTAGTCGGGTCTGCTGTTTTCTACATTTTGGGGAGTTGAGACATAAAAAGGGTATATTTACAAAGGTTAAGTTATCCTCTTATTACAGTAAAATATGAATAAAATTAAAACCTTGATTCTTTGCGATACAGGCATTTGGAACATCATGCTAAAGCATACATTTGAATTAATCGAATTAATTGTATATATTGCCCAGCCCTAGCAGGGTGTTAGGGGAAGCAGGGGATGGGGAGGGCTGCCTGTTCGCCTGTCTGTCAGTGTTTATTGTCCTGGAAGGGAAGGCAGTGGAATGACTAGAGTCTCTCTCACAGCCAGGTGTGTTGTTGTATTGGGGTTTTATTTAATGCCAAAGAAGAGGTTGCGCCACGCTGCTTTATTACATACATTTCACCTACTTGATTTAATTAAATTGCTACTTTTTGGTTGTTTTTCCTTTCAGGGTCCTATTTTGTCTATATAGCCTCTAAATAACCTCGTGATGGAGTCTCTGGGTGTGTCAAGGCTCTCCTTGATGTCAGACCTGGGAGGTTCGACCCTGTGTGGTGCTTCTCGTGGTGGAGGTCATGTGTTGTGCTCTCTGGGATCGTGGCTTGGATGGAGCGCTCCGGGATGGACAGGCCGTCTGTGAGTAAGTTTGTGGATGTTGGCATCTCTGTTGATACTTTTATGGTAAGGCTCTGTGTTTAAGTCTCTTAGATGGTAACTTCTGTATTGGTAAGGCCTACTGTGATTGGTAAGGCTCTCTGTGGATGGTAAGGCTCTCTGTGGATGGTAAGGCTCTCTGTGGATGGTGAGGCTCTCTGTGGATGGTGAGGCTCTCTGTGGATGGTGAGGCTCTCTGTGGATGGTGAGGCTCTCTGTGGATGGTGAGGCTCTCTGTGGATGGTAAGGCTCTCTGTGGATGGTAAGGCTCTCTGTGGATGGTAAGGCTCTCTGTGGATGGTAAGGCTGTGGCCTTGGACGATAACATGTTGAACCTTGTGGTTCATCTCATTTCTACCTTCAGCTCTGCTATCCACACCTTTGGGTGTGCAGTTCACTACTCACACCTCGGTTCACACCTTGGTCGCATAGTCACTTTACCCCTACCTACGTGTACAAATTACCTCGACTAACCTGTACCCCCGCACATTGACTCGGTACCAGTACCCTCTGTATATAGCCCAAAGTATTTTTTCGTTAGTTTTTTCTATTTGTATGTTCTTTGATGTTTTTCTTTTCTTAAAAAAATATTTTATGATTTGTTTCTTTTTTAATTGTTTGTAATATTTGGTAATTTTTATTTGTAGTAAATATTTTCTTAACTGTATTTTCTTAAAACTGCATTGTTGGTTAAGGGCTTGTAAGTAAGCATTTCACGGCGCATGTGACAAATAAAATTTGATTTGGTTTGATGCAGAGGAGGGAGGTACCTACAGTGCCTTCAGAAAGTATTCATACCCCTTGACTTATTCCACATTTTGTTGCGTCACAGACTGAATTCAAAATAGATTAAATAAATTAAAATGCTCACCCATCTACACACAACACCCCCATAATGACAAAGTGAAAACAGGTTTTATTTTTATTTTAGATCCCTTATAATTTGTTTTATGCAGAATTATCTCATTTACATAACTATTCACACACCTGAGTCAATACTTTGTAGAAGCACCTTTGGCAGCGATTACAGCTGTGAGGTAAGTCTCTAAGAGATTTCCACACCTGGATTGTGCAACATTTGTCCATTTATTCTTTTCAAAATTCTTCAAGCTCTGTCAAATGAGTTGTTGACCGTTGCTAGAAAACATTTTCAGGTCTTGCCATAGATTTTCAAGTAGATTTAAGTCAAAACTGTAACTCGGCCTTTCAGGAACATTCACGGTCTTCTTGGTAAGCAACTCCAGTCTTGATTTGGCCTTGTGTTTTAGGTTATTGTCCTGTTGAAAGGTGAATTCATCTCCAAGTCTCTGGTGGAAAGCAAACTAAACCAGGTTTTCCTCTAGGATTTTTGCCTGTGCTTAGCTCCGTTCCATCAATTTTTTTATCCTGAAAAACTCCCCAGTCCTTCACAATTACAAGCATACCCATAACACGATGCAGCCACCACTATGCTTGAAAATATGGAGAGTGGTACTCAGTAATGTGTTGTTGGATTTGCCCCAAACATAACACTTTTGTATTCAGGACAAAAGGTTAATTGCTTTGCCACAGTTTTTGCAGTATTACTTTAGTGCCTTGTTGCAAACAGGATGCATGTTTTGGAATATTTTTTATTCTTTACAGGCTTCCTTCTTTTCACTCTGTCAATTAGGTTTTTATGGTGGAGTAACTACGATGTTGTTGATCCATCCTTAGTTTTCTCATATCACAACCATTCAACTCTATAACTTTTTTAGTCACCATTTGCCTCATGGTGAAATCCCTGTGTGGTTTCCTTCCTCTCCGGCAACTGAGTTAGGAAGGACGCCTGTATCTTTGTGGTGACTGGGATATTCAATGTGTGATTATTATTATTATAATTTTTTTTTTTTACCCATCTTACCAATAGGTTCCCTTCTTCGCGAGGTATTGGAAAACTTCCCTGGTCTTTGTGGTTGAAATTCACTGCTCGACTGAGGGACCTTACAGATAATTGTATGTGTGGGGTACAGAGATGAGGTAGTCATTCAAAAATCATGTTAAGCACTATTATTGCACACAGAGTGAGTTCATGTAATTTATTATGTGACTTGTTAAGCACATTTTTACTTCTGAATTAATTTAGGCTTGTCATAACAAAGGGGTTGAATACTTATTGACTCAAGACATTCCAGCGTTTCCCTTTTAATTAATTTGTTAAAAAAATTAAAACATAATTCCACTTTGACATTATGGGGTATTGTGTGTAGGCCAGTGACAACAAATCTCTATTTTATCAATTTTAAATTCAGGCTGTAACACAGCAACATGTGGAAAACGTCAAGGGGTGTGAACACTTTCTGAAGGCACTAGGTGAGACACTTGCAATCAAATATACACGATATGAACATTCCATTCCAGCTAAACAATGGATATAGGCTATGGCGTTTTGCACAAAAACACATTTTCATACACATCTAAAATCTATGAATTAAACATTTGAGAACAATAATATCTTACACACACATAAGGTACCAATAAGTAATCATTTCTGATGAAAAAAAACACAAAAACTCTTCAATTAATCCATTGATACAATATGTTAATATTTGTTTTGTGTTAGCCGCAAACGTTAGCTAACAGTCTGAGAAGGTAGTGTGTGGTGAGCGTAAATGTCTGTTTGGGGTCATCCCGAGTGGCGCAGTGGACTAAGGCACTGCATTGCAGGTGCTAGCTGTGCCACTAGAGATCCTGGTTCGAATCCAGGCTCTGTCGTAGCCGGCCGCGACCGGGAGACCCATGGGGCGGCGCACAATTGGCCCAGCGTCGTAGTAGGGAGTAGGCAAAGGTAGTGAGGATGTGAGTGGAGTGTAGGTAGGGTTGTATGCAGGTGGGCAGTGAAAGAGAATAATGAAGTAATCCATGTTAAGTGTGCAGTAGTAACAACAAAAGTATGGGCATGTAGGTGTAGAGGTAGGTAGGCAGAGGTAGGGTAGGGAGGTAGGTCAGGTAGGTAGGTAGGCAGGTAGGTAGGTAGGGAGGTAGGGAGGTAGGTAGGGAGGTGGAGGAGAGGGAGGTAGGGAGGTAGGGAGGGTAGGGAGGTAGGGGAGTAGGTAGGTCGACAGGGGTAGGGTAGGTGGAGGTGGTCGGTAGGTAGGCAAGGTAGGTAGGTAGGTCGACAGGCAGGTAGGTAGGTAGGTCGACAGGGAGGTAGGTAGGTAGGTCGACAGGCAGGTAGGTAGGTAGTCGACGGCGGTCGGTAGGTAGGTCGTAGCGGTAGGTAGGTAGGTACGGTAGGTAGGTAGGTGGTAGGTAGGTGGTAAGGTACATGTTAGATTGATTCACAAAAATAACTCTAGCTTCGTTTGATCTGAAAGTTGAGGTCATTCATAGCAATTGGCTACTTACCATAATGAACACGTGGGATTTGTATTGATTTATACGGGAAATAAGTAACCACTGGTTTATAAAAGCCTGAAACATCCATTACTAAGTACACAAACCTAAGCATGTTCTCACTAAATATCTTGGGGGGAAAAAACTATGACATCATGTCAGGTTCAACTTTGACAGTGGCGTCTGAGTGACAGTGACGAACTGGGCCTCATAGCCAGCTGTCACTCTCAGTGGCTATTACCTCCACTACTCTGTCCATTAGCTCCTGGCTGGCCAGCCTACAGAACAGGAGAGACAGAAGAGATAGCTCCTGGCTGGCCAGCCTACAGAACAGGAGAGACAGAAGAGATAGCTCCTGGCTGGCCAGCCTACAGAACAGGAGAGACAGAAGAGATAGCTCCTGGCTGGCCAGCCTACAGAACAGGAGAGACAGAAGAGATAGCTCCTGGCTGGCCAGCCTACAGAACAGGAGAGACAGAAGAGATAGCTCCAGGCTGGGTCTACAGTGCTCCAGAGCTGATGTGGCTTTTTGGTCTGAGAGAGACTTTATGACCCTCGATGTATTTAATATAACCTGCTGTTTCCTCAGTGTTGGAAGATATAATGAAATATAAGAGGCCTTAGGCATCTCAACGCTGCTCTGAGCCAGTCAGTCAGGCTACAAATGGACCTATTTCCGGGACAGTACAGTATTATAGAGATGCTGTTTTAGTTTGCAGACATCTCCAGAACAGCACTGTAGAGGCGGCAGGTAGCTTAGTGGTTAAGAGCGTAGTGCCAGTAACCGAAAGGTCGCTGGTTCTAATCCCCGAGCCAACTAGGTGAAAAATCTGTCGGTGTGCCCTTGAGCAAGGCACTTAACCCTAATAGCTCCTGTAAGTCGCTCTGGATAAGAGCGTCTGCTAAATGACAAAAGAAAAGAAATATATGTGTATCCTATTTTCTCACATGTTCTCTCTCTGTGTTCTAGTTCTCAGTGTTCCTGGGTCTGATCATCTTCTTGGAGCTGACAGCAGGCATCATGTTCTAATGTTCTAATGTTCTCTCTCTGTGTTCTAGTTCTCAGTGTTCCTGGGTCTGATCTTCTTCTTGGAGCTGACAGCAGGCATCATGTTCTAATGTTCTCTCTCTGTGTTCTAGTTCTCAGTGTTCCTGGGTCTGATCTTCTTCTTGGAGCTGACAGCAGGCATCATGTTCTAATGTTCTAATGTTCTAATGTTCTCTCTCTGTGTTCTAGTTCTCAGTGTTCCTGGGTCTGATCTTCTTCTTGGAGCTGACAGCAGGCATCATGTTCTAATGTTCTAATGTTCTCTCTCTGTGTTCTAGTTCTCAGTGTTCCTGGGTCTGATCTTCTTCTTGGAGCTGACAGCAGGCATCATGTTCTAATGTTCTCTCTCTGTGTTCTAGTTCTCAGTGTTCCTGGGTCTGATCTTCTTCTTGGAGCTGACAGCAGGCATCATGTTCTAATGTTCTAATGTTCTAATGTTCTCTCTCTGTGTTCTAGTTCTCAGTGTTCCTGGGTCTGATCTTCTTCTTGGAGCTGACAGCAGGCATCATGTTCTAATGTTCTCTCTCTGTGTTCTAGTTCTCAGTGTTCCTGGGTCTGATCTTCTTCTTGGAGCTGACAGCAGGCATCATGTTCTAATGTTCTAATGTTCTCTCTCTGTGTTCTAGTTCTCAGTGTTCCTGGGTCTGATCTTCTTCTTAGAGCTGACAGCAGGCATCCTGGCCTTTGTGTTTAAAGACTGGATCAAAGACCAGCTCAACTTCTTCATCAACAACAACGTCAAGGCCTACCGCGACGACATCGACTTGCAGAACCTCATAGACTTCACACAGGAATATGTCAGTAGTACTAGATGTTATAGAGTTAATAGGAATATATTAGTAGTACTAGATGTTATAGAGTTAATAGGAATATATTAGTAGTACTAGATGTTATAGAGTTAATAGGAATATATTAGTAGTACTAGATGTTATAGAGTTAACAGGAATATGTCAGTAGTACTAGATGTTATAGAGTTAACAGGAATATATGAGTAGTAGAAAGGTGTCCCTGGAGCAGTTTAGGGGTTAAGTGCCTTGCTCAAGGACCCAATGGCATTATGTAGATCCAATGGCATTATGTAGATCCAATGGCATTATGTAGATCCAATGGCATTATGTAGATCCAATGGCATTATGTAGATCCAATGGCATTATGTAGATCCAATGGCATTATGTAGATCCAATGGCATTATGTAGATCCAATGGCATTATGTAGATCCAATGGCATTATGTAGATCCAATGGCATTATGTAGATCCAATGGCATTATGTAGATCAACATGTCTTGTACCTTTAGCTGTACTGGACAGGCAACATGTCTTGTACCTTTAGCTGTACTGGACAGGCAACATGTCTTGTACCTTTAGCTGTACTGGACAGGTAACATGTCTTGTACCTTTAGCTGTACTGGACAGGCAACATGTCTTATACCTTTAGCTGTACTGGACAGGTAACATGTCTTGTACCTTTAGCTGTACTGGACAGGTAACATGTCTTGTACCTTTAGCTGTTCTGGACAGGCAACATGTCTTGTACCTTTAGCTGTACTGGACAGGCAACATGTCTTGTACCTTTAGCTGTTCTGGACAGGCAACATGTCTTGTACCTTTAGCTGTACTGGACAGGTAACATGTCTTTATACCTTTAGCTGTACTGGACAGGCAACATGTCTTGTACCTTTAGCTGTACTGTACTGGACAGGCAACATGTCTTGTACCTTTAGCTGTACTGGACAGGTAACATGTCTTGTACCTTTAGCTGTTCTGGACAGGCAACATGTCTTGTACCTTTAGCTGTACTGGACAGGCAACATGTCTTGTACCTTTAGCTGTACTGGACAGGCAACATGTCTTGTACCTTTAGCTGTTCTGGACAGGCAACATGTCTTGTACCTTTAGCTGTACTGTACTGGACAGGCAACATGTCTTGTACCTTTAGCTGTACTGGACAGGTAACATGTCTTGTACCTTTAGCTGTACTGGACAGGTAACATGTCTTGTACCTTTAGCTGTACTGGACAGGTAACATGTCTTGTACCTTTAGCTGTACTGTACTGGACAGGTAACATGTCTTGTACCTTTAGCTGTACTGGACAGGTAACATGTCTTGTACCTTTAACTGTGCTGTTCTGAACAGGCAGCCAGCGCCTTAACCCTGATTGGATTACTGTACAAATGCTGACGCCAACCAGATCCAGCCTCTTTATCATGGCAGACTTGGTTGTAGTAAGACTTTTTTATAAAGACTCATAAGTTCTTATAACGTGTAGTAATGCCTTATACCAGTCTGTCTGTCTGTGTGTTCTAGTGGTCGTGCTGTGGGGCCCACGGTCCCAATGACTGGAACCTGAATATCTACTTCAACTGCACTGAGTTTAACCCCAGTAGAGAGCGCTGTGGAGTCCCCTTCTCCTGCTGTGTCAAAGACCCTGCCGTAAGATGCCTTCCTGTGCTGTAGAACTACGTTATAAAACCTCAGATGTAGACCGTGTTGTAAGACTTATTCCTTTGAACACATTAACCATACGTGTTCGACAGACCCTGCCGTAAGATGCCTTCCTGTGCTGTAGACCTACGTTATAAAACCTCAGACGTAGACCGTGTTGTAAGACTTATTCCTTTTGAACACATTAACCATACGTGTTCGACAGACCGTGCCATAAGATACCTTACTGGGCTATAGAACTACATTATAAACCTCAAGACTTATTCAGTTTAGCACATTGACATTCTAGAGACCCTGCTGGAAGACCCACATTCTAGAGACCCTGCTGGAAGACCCACATTCTAGAGACCCTGCTGGAAGACCCACATTCTTCTGTTCTCACGATAGTTTTGCTTTCATTCGTTTCAGGAAGATGTCCTTAACACACAGTGTGGCTACGACATGAGACTTCAAGGGGTTGGTATCTCTTTTATCAGTCCTTAATACCTTGCTGGACATAATCCAGAGATCGAGAGAGAGAGAGGCGGCTGACATTTCAACCTTTCCTCTGAACATCTAGCTAGACATGGCAGTTAAGGGTTAAGTAGCTAGCTAGCTAGTGTTCAGGCTGCTCTCCTCCTCTCTTCCTTAATAACAGTGTGTTTTTCTAACGGAGCTGATTGGACTCCAGTTATAGCCCTGGGAAGCATCACAACAATACGCTCTATAATTGAGGATTCAGTGGGTTATGCCTCCCTCTGCTGTGTGTGTGTGTGTGTGTGTGTGTGTGTGTGTGTGCACTCACAATACAGCTCTCAACCAGAGCATTGTTGCTGTGCATAATGTTATGTAGTGAAGCCCCAAATGACTGTATATGTTGTCATGTTGTTAGTTTTCCTTACTGTGTACAGCCTTGTAGTCTTTTCTGTGAAAAATCTATAGAAACTAGCCGTGTGCTGTACTCTGCTCCGGTGGAGTTTGTTTGTGGAGTGTTTGAGGTGGGGGGGGGGGGGGGGATAGGGAGACAGAGAGAGAATAGCAGAGAGAGAGAATAGCAGAGAGAGAGAATAGCAGAGAGCGAGAATAGCAGAGAGAGCGAGAATAGCAGAGAGAGAGAATAGCAGAAAGAGAGAGAATAGCAGAGAGAAAGAGAGAGAATAGCAGAGAGAAAGAGAGAGATAGCAGAGAGAAAGAGAGAGAATAGCAGAGAGAAAGAGAGAGAATAGCAGAGAGAAAGAGAGAGAATAGCAGAGAGAAAGAGAGAGAATAGCAGAGAGAGAGAGAGAATAGCAGAGAGAGAATAGCAGAGAGAGAGAGAGAATAGCAGAGAGAGAGAGAATAGCAGAGAGAGAGAGAATAGCAGAGAGAGAGAGAATAGCAGAGAGAGAAAGAGAGAATAACAGAGAGAGAATAGCAGAGAGAGAGAGAGAATACAGCAGGGAGAGAGAGAGAATAGCAGAGAGAGAGAGAGAGAGAATAGCAGAGAGAGAAGAGAGAGAGAATAGAGAGAAGAGAGAAATAGCAAGAGAGAGAGAGATAGCAGAAGGATAGAAGAAGCAGAGAATGCATAGACAGAGAGAGATAGAGAGAGGAATAGCAGAGAGAAGAGAAATAGCAGAGAGATAGAGAAAGAAGAATAGCAGAGAAGAGAGAATAGCAGAGAGGAAGAATAGCAGAGAGAATAGCAAGAGAGAATAGCAGAGAGAAAAGTAGCATAGCAGAGAATAGAGAGAGAAGAAGAGAGACATAGCAGAGAGAAAGAGAGAGAAAGATAAGAGAGAAATAGAGAGGAAAAGAGAGAGAGAAGATAGAAAGAGAGAATAGCAGAGAGAAGAGAAGAGAATAGCAGAGAGAAGAGGATCAGAGAAATAGCAAAGAGAAGAAGAGAGAATAGCAGAGAGAGAGAGATAGAGAGGAGAGAATAGCAGAGAGAGAGAGAGAATAGTTGAGAGAGAGAGAGAGAGAGAATAGCAGAGAGAGAGAGAGAGAATAGCAGAGAGAGAGAGAGAATAGCAGAGAGAGAGAATAGCAGAGAGAGAGAGAGAGAATAGTAGAGAGAGAGAGAGAATAGCAGAGGAGAGAGAGAATAGCAGAGGGAGAGAGAGAATAGCAGAGGGAGAGAGAGAATAGCAGAGGGAGAGAGAGAATAGCAGAGGGAGAGAGAGAATAGCAGAGGGAGAGAGAGAATAACAGGGAGAGAGAATAGCAGAGATTAACGAAGAAAATACCGACTGAAATGGCTCTAGGGCAAGTTTACAGTCACCATCTGAAACATTTCATTGTATGCCCAGGGATTCCGTTACCTCCCATTGGTGGAGAGTTGGTTTCCAGGTTTTAGCTTTGGAACAAAGGAATCCTTGGTGGAGTTTCTCTATAGAGAGACAAAGACAAGCTTTGTGGGGGAGAACCTTTTGTTGCTGGAGCTCAACAGGACCTGAGCTTCAGTAAACTTCTATGGGAACAGAATAAAAGACAGCTAAACACAGTACACACACACAGCTTCATCCATAGTAGACACACAGCTTCATCCACAGTAGACACACACACAGCTTCATCCACAGTAGACACACAGCTTCATCCACAGTAGACACACACAGCTTCATCCACAGTAGACACACACACAGCTTCATCCACAGTAGACACACACACAGCTTCATCCACAGTAGACACACACAGCTTCATCCACAGTAGACACACACACAGCTTCATCCACAGTAGACACACACACACACAGCTTCATCCACAGTAGACACACACACATCTTCATCCACAGTAGACACACACACAGCTTCATCCACAGTAGACACACACACACACAGCTTCATCCACAGTAGACACACACACACAGCTTCATCCACAGTAGACACACACACACACAGCTTCATCCACAGTAGACACACACACACACAGCTTCATCCACAGTAGACACACACACACACAGCTTCATCCACAGTAGACACACACACAGCTTCATCCACAGTAGACACACACACAGCTTCATCCACAGTATATAAACATAGAGATTATACACAGTGTCTGTGTTTCAGATGGCACCATATTCACTGTATAGGGCACTACTTTTAACCAGGGCCATAGAGGTGCTATGAGATTAAACCAGTATATACTGTATATAGACTAGTTCTGTGACGGTAGTTGAATCGCCATGTCAATCTGAGTAACATAATAAAACATCCCTATCAAAACATCCATCAGTTTACTTTAGACGTCTGTAGCTTCCGAACGGTTTGACCTACACACTATTATGACCACTCTATGTAAAGGGAAGACTCTCACCAACACTATGGTGTTCTCCGTTTTGCTCGACACCCCACAGGTGTCACGGGACTCGTTTCAAATAGGTTTTGTTAAGAAGCATATCCATGTAAACAAGTGTACTAACAGAATTGTGACGTCCCATTTTACACAGGGCCTTGTAGGCCTAAGACAGCAGTAACATACATTTAAACAAAATGGCCGCATACCAAAAATACATGGAAAGGGAAAGAAAAGGAGAAACCAGTAATGAAATGTGATGCAATAGTGAAATTGCACATTTCTTTTGAGTCTGATAGCCTATGCGTTAAGTAGTGTCGATATGAAAATGTGACAATATTCTCCAATCTGACATTTCTTAATTTGTATGCTAATATTGAGAGGTTATAATAACGTGAATAGTAATGAAAGGCTACTGATATTAAAGAAGTGTAATGATAATAGTGAAGTTGCAGAGAAAAACCACCTGTTTCTTTTGAGTCTGATATGCACCAATCCCCTCCTCCCCCCTCTGATATTCCCCTCCTCCCCCCTCTGATATTCCCCTCCTCCCCCCTCTGATATGCACCAATCCCCTCCTCCCCCCTCTGATATTCCCCTCCTCCCCCTCTGATATGCACCAATACCCTCCTCTCCCTCTGATATGCACCAATCCCCTCCTCCCCCCTCTGATATGCACCAATCCCCTCCTCCCTCCTCTGATATGCACCAATCCCCTCCTCCCTCCTCTGATATGCACCAATCCCCTCCTCCCCCCTCTGATATGCACCAATCCCTCCTCCCCTCTCTGATATGCACCAATTCCCCTCGCTCCTCCTCTGATATGCACCAATCCCCTCCTCCCCTCCTCTGTATATCACCAATCCCCCTCGCCTCCCTCCTCTGATATGCACCAATCCCCTCCTCCCTCCTCTGATATGCACCAATCCCCTCCTCTGATATGCACCAATCCCCTCCTCCCTCCTCTGATATGCACCAATCCCCTCCTCCCCCCTCTGATATGCACCAATCCCCTCCTCCCCCCTCTGATATGCACCAATCCCCTCCTCCCTCCTCTGATATGCACCAATCCCCTCCTCCCTCCTCTGATATGAACCAATCCCCTCCTCCCTCCTCTGATATGCACCATCCCCTCCTCCCTCCTCTGATATGCACCAATCCCTCCTCCCTCCTCTGATATGCACCAATCCCCTCCTCCTCTACCCCCTCCTCTGATATGCACCAATCCCCTCCTCCCTCCTCTGATATGCACCAATCCCCTCCTCCCTCCTCTGATATGCACCAATCCCCTCCTCCCTCCTCTGATATGCACCAATCCCCTCCTCCCTCCTCTGATATGCACCAATCCCCTCCTCCCTCCTCTGATATGCAGACCATCACAGCCCTAATAGAGACATGCTTCTCTGATGACTTCTATGAAGTGTACATTTGGCATGAAGTTAATACTACAATATGTATGCCAGAGGGGACACAGTGAATTCGTCCTAAATGACACCCTATTCCCTTTATAGTGCACTTATTTTAACTACAGTCGTGAGCAAAAGTTTTGAGAATGACACAAATAGTAATTTTCACAAAGTCTGCTGCCTTAGTTTTGATGATGGCAATATGCATATACTCCAGAATGTCATAAAGAGTGATCAGATGAATTGCAATTAATTGCAAAGTCCCTCTTTGCCATGAAAATGAACTTAATCCCCCCACCCAAAAAACATTTCCACTGCATTTCAGCCCTGCCACAAAAGGACCAGCTGCCATCATCTCAGTGATTCTCTCGTTAACACAGGTGAGAGTGTTGACGAAGGACAAGGCTGGAGATCACTCTGTCATGCTGATTCAGTTAGAATAACAGACTGGAAGCTTTAAAAGGAGGGTGGTGCTTGAAATCATTGTTCTTCCTCTGTTAACCATGGTTACCTGCAAGGAAACACGTGCCGTCATCATTGCTTTGCACAAAAAGGGCTTCACAGGCAAGGATATTGCTGCTAGTAAGATTGCACCTAAATCAACCATTTATCGGATCATCAAGAACTTCAAGGAGAGAGGTTCAATTGTTGTGAAGAAGGCATCAGGGTGCCCAAGAAAGTCCAGCAAGCGCCAGGACCGTCTCCTAAAGTTGATTCAGCTGCGGGATCGGGGCACCACCAGTGCAGAGCTTGCTCAGGAATGGCAGCAGGCAGGTGTGAGTGCATCTGCACGCACAGTGAGGCGAATACTTTTGGAGGATGGCCTGGTGTCAAGAAGGGCAGCAAAGAAGCCACTTCTCTCCAGGAAAAACATCAGGGACAGACTGATATTCTGCAAAAGGTACAGGGATTGGACTGCTGAGGACTGGGGTAAAGTCATTTTCTCTGATGAATGTGGTCCTCTGTAGTTCAATTGGTAGAGCATGGCGCTTGTAACGCCAGGGTAGTGGGTTCGATCCCCAGGACCACCCATACATAAAAATGTATGCGCACATGACTGTAAGTCGCTTTGGATAAAATGGCATATTATTATAATATTATAATCCCCTTTCCGATTGTTTGGGGCATCCGGAAAACGCCTTGCTTGTCCGGAGAAGACAAGGTGAGCGCTACCATCAGTCCTGTGTCATGCCAACAGTAAAGCATCCTGAGACCATTCATGTGTGGGGTTGCTTCTCAGCCAAGGGAGTGGGCTCACTCACATTTTTGCCTAAGAACACAGCCATGAATAAAGAATGGTACCAACACATCCTCCGAGAGCAACTTCTCCCAACCATCCAAAAACAGTTTGGTGAAGACCAATGCCTTTTCCAGCATGATGGAGCACCTTGCCATAAGGCAAAAGTGATAACTAAGTGGCTCGGGGAACAAAACATCGACATTTTGGGTCCATGGTCAGGAAACTCCCCAGACCTTAATCCCATTGAGAACTGGTGGTCGATCCTCAAGAGGCGGGTGGACAAACAAAAACCCACAAATTCTGACAAACTCCAAGCATTGATTATGGAAGAATGGGCTGCCATCAGTCAGGCTGTGGCCCAGAAGTTAATTGACAGCATGCCAGGGCGGTTTGCAGAGGTCTTGGAAAAGAAGGGTCAACACTGCAAATATTGACTCTTTGCATAAACTTTAATGTAATTCTCAATAAAAGCCTTTGACACTTATGGAATGCTTGTAATTATACTTCAGTATACCATAGTAACATCTGACAAAAATATATCATAACACTGAAGCAGCGAACTTTGTGAAGACCAATACTTCTTGTCATTCTCAAAACTTTTGACCACGACTGTATGTCCCATAGGGAATAGGGTGCCATTTTGGAATCATCTAGCATTTGTTTATCCTTCATGTTCTGTGAGTCATAATCCAATGGCCATTGGTCTGGTCTGGTTGGTCTGGTTTGGTTTGGTCTGGTTTGGTTTGGTTTGGTCTGGTTTGGTCTGGTTTGGTCTGGTCTGGTTTGGTCTGGTCTGCTCTGGTTTGGTCTGGTCTGGTTTGGTCTGGTCTGCTCTGGTTTGGTCTGGTCTGGTTTGGTCTGGTCTGGTTTGGTCTGGTTTGGCTAACTCAATGTTAAAAAGGTTTTTCTCCAAACTGTTGGTTGGGGGAAACACTGTATTAAAACGTGTCTCCTATTTCCCCTCCCAGGAGTTGGACCAGCAAAAGTTCATCTACACCAAGGGTTGTGTGGGCCAGTTCGAGAGGTGGCTTCAGGACAACCTGATCATTGTAGCTGGGGTCTTTGTGGGCATTGCACTTTTACAGGTAAGGAGGACTCCCAGAGACATTATTTCACAAATGTATATTTAAAGAGTCATCTTTTGTGTGAATCAGATAAATAATGTCTGCATTTGCAGTCACCATCATGGCTGGAAGTCGGGATTTCCGTTAACCGGTAATTACCGGCTTTTGGCCATTTTCTTTTTTCTTATCCGATAAATAAAACTGTTGCCGGCCAAAATGACAGAGAGAAAAAAAATCCTACTGCAAAATAATGCTTTTTGTTAATTGATGGAAATACCAGTCGATGGAAATACATTTGACCATCATGCTTATCGGTCTATAGGTTCATTTGCATAATTTAGTGGAATTAAATTGGCCTGTGTGTATTTTCGTTAGTCATCATGTGTCTTATTTATCCAACACAACTATTACATACAGAAGAGCCTATTTGGAGCAAGATTTCTTACAACGGGGAAGCTTACATTTTATCCTACCATTTCTACTGTTCTGCGTGCCAGTTATGATTTTCATTTGTGTATTTTCAGGGAACAGTTTCATTTCAATAACGTTTTTGTTCCTCAAAATCATTGTCACGCGGTTAATAAAAAAAAATCTGCATTAAAATTAGAAAATTAGGAAAGTTAAAAGTCTATAACTAATGTGAGATCCCCAGTCTCTGCCATATGAACACATTGATACACCGTGATCCATTGGCGGCTGAAGAAATGAGCGCTTGGAACTCACAGCCTATAGGCCAATGCAGCAGTAGGACTATAACTACCATTGCTCTTTCACACCGAGGATTGGTGATTATCGAGGGGATTGTTGGAAAGATTTTTCAAATAGCTTACTGTGAGGAACTATAGTTTTTAATATATTATCATATGCAATGGATGTTAAAAAAAACCTGATTTCCTACATTTCCGAGCAGCAGACCAGGTACTTCTATGCATGCTCAGGTGCACGTGATCCCTCAACATTATCAGGACAGAGAAACCAGACGCATGCTCATTGCTTACATGGAGCACTCCAAACAAAACACAAAGAACACATTTACTAATCTTGTTAATCTTGGTTAAATGAACCAAAACGTGTTTCTCACAAAGTGTAGCAGGTTGTGAACTCTGCAAACAATGTTTCCACTCTGAGAATGAGAACGGTAAATGACTGTGATTTAATACATGCGTTAACAGAAATGAATGTAACCACGTGACGGGGATAAACGGTACATTTAAAACTGGTGACATATGTAATGTGGAATTGATCAAAAACAATTTAAAAGGGCAAACAATTTACACAATGAAACAATGAATGCGCAAAAGAATTGGCGGGAGAGAGCTGAGCCATTCTGGAGACGTGTCATGTCTTTGCCACACTCCTCAATAACCAGCTAGGCCTATTGCCATGCACGCTGCTCAAATAAGCATAGGCCTACGAGCTTGTGATTTGAAACAACCCACAGCAATTTTTTAAAAAGAAGGTAATGATCCTCCATTTTTCTGGTGAAGTATTTTGAATGATTTTATTTTATTTATGTATACAGGAGTAATTATATAATTTTGGCACATTTTATTTCCATTGACTTCACTATTGGACCCACCGCTTATGCCATTTCTCTCCTGGTCTATTGGTTTTCATATCAACTTTCTTTCATTGTCCAGAAGCCAAAGTCATGTTTGCAACCCATCCTAGATGTTTACATCTTTAGATCCCCCCCTCTTTCTAAGTTTCTAACAGAGATTGTCATCTCTGTCACATATGGAACAACTATCAGGTGCAGTTTAAAATTGTGTTTTCCCGCGAATTGTACTTTGGCAGATGTTTGAAAAATATTTTTTTTTTTGGTCTGCTTCATTACACGAGTTGCATGTTCTGTCATTCTGAGCACCCTGGTGGATGCCCTAATCGGTTATGCACCCACTGCATATGGGTCCGGTCAATTTCTCAAATGGCCGTTAAATTAAAATCTTCCCGGTCACGTTGTCCCGCCGCGACGGAAACCCTGCTCGGAGTGTGTAATTATTTTGAATTATTATTACTTCCTTTTCATTGTGTGTCACTCTTAAATCAGAGAACCCTTCGATGCTTTGAATTTCAGTTAGCTACGTGCCAGAGTCTGGCAGAGACTGAATGTTACCTAACCTGTGATGTCATTTCCTGTTTAGATATTTGGGATCTGCCTGGCTCAGAACCTGGTGAGTGACGTCAACGGCGTGAAGGCCAACTGGTGACGCCAGGACCCTGGGGTGGGGGGGGGGGTACTCTGACCTTTGACCCCCAACATCCAGCTCACCTCCCGCTGAACCGCGTAGAGGCTGAGAGGTGAAAACACAAACAGCTGTTTACCTCTGGTTCTGCCGGGCTCGGGAGCCACCTCACAAAACATTGTTTACTGTCCCAAACACACACACACACACACACACACACACACACACACACACACACACACACACACGCTGGGCTGGGGACTTACACATGGACATACAGGGGACTCCTGTGGATGTCTAGCTAAGCTGATCTGACATTGTTGTTTACAGTTTTGATTCCACAGGGTGTATTTACCTGCTCCAGGAAGATGCACCCATTGGCCGGGGAGATCAATAGAAATACATATAAACAGATAGAGATATCTGGGTCAAAGCTGAGAAGAGGATGAGAGGAGAGATACAACTTTCTTCTTTTATTCAGTCACACAGTCTATATCACCTGGTGTCACCTCAACGCTACAACCGCTAGGATTTCAAACACCCCTTCAGAAAGGGCTGGTTGTTAGATACCTACTATCCCACTTTTACAGTATTTATGGTAGATGCTATATAGATATATATAAAGAAGTATATATGCTATACTCCTGTCTGACCTACTGGCTGGCTGACAGGATGGCATTTTTTCTGTTATTCTATGACCACTGAAAGACATAAAGTTCATGTTTAAAGCAGAGTAAGGAAATGGGAGTATTCCATTTCACATTCAGAAAATTCAGGTTAGCAGAGCCTTGCTACGGATGCATGTCTTTAACCGCCTGTTTTTAAACAGCATGTTCGAACATACAGTACCAGTCAAAAGTTTGGACACACCTACTCATTCCAGGGGTTTTCTTAATTTGTACTAATTTCTACATTGTAGAATAATTATGAAGACATCAAAACTATGAAATAACACATATGGAATCATGTAGTAACCAAAAAAGTGTTAAACAAATCAAAGTAGCCACCCTTTGCCTTGATGACAGCTTTGCACACACTTGGCATTCTCCCAACCAGCTTCACCTGGAATGCTTTTCCAACAGTCTTGAAGGAGTGCCCACATTTGCTGAGCAATTGTTGGCTGCTTTTTCCTTCACTCTGCCGTCCGACTCATCCCAAACCATTTCAATTTGGTTGAGGTCGGGGGATTGAGGGGGCCAGGAAGGGTCAACACTGCATCTGATGCAGCACTCCATCACTCTCCTTCTTGGTAAAATAGCCCATACACCGCCTGGAGGTGTGTTCGGTCATTGTCCTGTTGAAAAACATATTATTGTCCCACTAAGCCCAAACCAGATGGGAGGGTGTATCGCTGTGGTAGCCATACTGGTTGTGTGCCTTGCATTCTAAATAAATCCCAGACAGTGTCACCACCAAAGCACCCCCACACCATAACACCACCACCTCCATGCTTTACGGTGGGAACTACACATGTGGAGATCATCCGTTCACCCACACCGCGTCTCACAAAGACACAGCGGTTGGAACCAAAAATCTCAAATTTGGACCCCAGACCAAAGGACAGATTTCCACCGGTCTAATGTCCATTGCTCGTGTTTCTTTGCCCAAGCTGGTCTCTTCTTATAATTGGTGTCCTTTAGTAGTGGTTTCTTTGCAGCAATTTGACCATGGAGGCCTGATTCACACAGTCTCCTCTGAAAAGTTGATGTTGAGATGTTTCTGTTACTTGAACTCTGTGAAGCATTTATTTGGGCTGCAATTTCTAAGGCTGGTAACTCTATTGAACTTATCCTCTGCTTCAGAGGTAACTCTGGGTCTTCCATTCCTGTGGCGGTCGTCATGAGAGCCAGTTTAATCATAGCACTTGGTTTTTGCGACTGCACTTGAAGAACTTGGACTGTCGTTTCTATTTGCTTATTTGAGCTGTTCTTGGCATTTTATGGACTTGGTCTTTTACCAAATAGGGCTATCTTCTGTATACCCCCCCCTACCTTGTCACAACACAACTGATTGGCTCAAACGCATTAAGAATGAAAGAAATTCCACAAATTAACGTTTAACAAGGCACACCTGTTAATTGAAATGCATTCCAGGTGACTACCTAATGAAGCTGGTTCAGAGAATGCCAAGTGTGTGCAAAGCTGTCATCAAGGCAAAGGGTGGCTATTTGAAGAATGTCAAATATAAAATATATTTCGATTTGTTAAACACTTTTTTGGGTACTACATGATTCCATATGTGTTATTTCGTAGTTTTGATGTCTTCAGTATTATTCTACAATGTAAAAAATAGTAAAAATAAAGAAAAACAATTGAATGAGTAGGTGTGTCCAAACGTTTGACTGGTGGTGTGTATATACAGTTGAAGTCGGAAGTTTACATACACCTTAGCCAAATACATTTAAACTCAGTTTTTCACAATTCCTGACATTTAATCCTAGTAAAAATTCCCCGTCTTAGGTCAGTTAGGATCACCACTTTATTTTAAGAATGTGAAATGTCAGAATAATAGTAGAGAGAATGATTTATTTCAGCTTTTATTTCTTTCATCACATTCCCAGTGGGTCAGAAGTTTACATACACTCAATTAGTATTTGGTAGCATTGCCTTTAAATTGTTTAACTTGGGTCAAACATTTCGGGGAGCCTTCCGCAAGTTTCCCACAATAAGTTGGGTGAATTTTGTCCCATTCCTCCTGACAGAGCTGGTGTAACTGAGTCAGGTTTGTAGGCCTCCTTGATCGCACACGCTTTTTAAGTTCTGCCCACAAATGTTCTATAGGATTGAGGTCAGGGCTTTGTGATGACCACTACAATACCTTGACTTTGTTGTCCTTAAGCCATTTTGCCACAACTTTGGAAGTATGCTTGGGGTCATTGTCCATTTGGAAGACCCATTTGCGACAAAGCTTTAACTTCCTGACTGATGTCTTGAGATGTTGCTTCAATATATCTACATAATTTTCCTTCCTCATGATGCCATCTATTTTGTGAAGTGCACCAGTCCCTCCTGCAGCAAAGCACCCCCACAGCATGATGCTGCCACCCCCGTGCTTCACGTTTGTGATGGTGTTCTTCGGCTTGCAAGCAACCCCCTTTTTCCTCCAAACATAACGATGGTCATTATGGGCAAACAGTTCTATTTCTGTTTCATCAGACCAGAGGACATTTCTCCAAAAAGTACGATCTTTGTCCCCACGTGCAGTTGCAAACCATAGTCTGGCTTTTTTATGGCGGTTTTGGAGCAGTGGCTTCTTTCTTGCTGAGCGGCCTTTCAGGTTATGTCGATATAGGACTCGTTTTACTGTGGATATAGATACTTTTGTACCTGTTTCCTCCAGCATCTTCACAAGGTCCTTTGCTGCTGATCTGGGATTGATTTGCACTTTTCGCACCAAAGTACGTTAATCTCTAGGAGACAGAACGCATCTCCTTCCTGAGCGGTATGAAGGCAGCGTGGTCCCATGGTGTTTATACTTGTGTACTATTGTTTGTACAGATGAACGTGGTCCCTTCAGGCGTTTGGAAATTGCTCCCAAGGATGAACCAGACGTGGTCGTCTACAAATTATTTTCTGAGGTCTTGGCTGATTTCTTTAGATTTTCCCATGATGTCAAGCAAAGAGGCACTGAGTTTGAAGGTAGGCCTTGAAATACATCCACAGGTACACCTCCAATTGACTCAAATGATGTCAATTAGCCTATCAGAAGCTTCTAAAGCCATGACATCATTTTCTGGAATTTTCCAAGCTGTTTAAAGGCACAGTCAACTTAGTGTATGTAAACTTCTGACCCACGGGAAATGTGATGCAGGGAATTATAAGTGAAATAATTTGTCTGTAAGCAATTGTTGGAAAAATTACTTGTGTCATGCACAAAGTAGATGTCCTAACCGACTTGCCAAAACTATAGTTTGTTAACAAGAAATTTGTGGAGTGGTTGAAAAACGAGTTTTAATGACTCCAACCTAAATGTATGTAAACCTTCGACTTCAACTCTATATATATATATATATATATATATATATGTATATATATGTATGAATTTATTTTCAGAGTCTGTCTGTCAATGTTTTGAGTTTAATCAAACAGCCAGACAGACAGACAGTTGGAGAGATGACGTTTCTCTCCCAGAGGATAGTAGGCTTGCGGCCTTTTACTTGATCTAAACTTTAACCTTATACTGATGTTAAATATACGTTATACTGACGTTGAATCTCCGTTTTACTGACGTTGAATCTCCATTATACTGATGTTAAATATCCGTTATACTGACGTTGAATCTCCGTTATACTGACGTTGAATCTCCGTTATTCTGACATTGAATCTCCGTTATACTGACGTTGAATCTCCGTTATACTGACGTTGAATCTCCGTTATACTGACGTTGAATCTCCGTTATTCTGACGTTGAATCTCCGTTATACTGACGTTGAATCTCCGTTATACTGACGTTAAATCTCCGTTATTCTGACGTTGAATCTCCGTTATTCTGACGTTGAATCTCCGTTATACTGACGTTGAATCTCCGTTATACTGACGTTGAATCTCCGTTATTCTGACGTTGAATCTCCGTTATTCTGACGTTGAATCTCCGTTATACTGACGTTGAATCTCCGTTATACTGACGTTGAATCTCCGTTATGCTGACTTTGAATCTCCGTTATACTGACGTTGGTTTGATGCGGTTATTCTGTCTCTTCTGTTCTCCCACCTTTTGGAAGCTTGTATTTCATTACGCCCCTGTTGTTATCCTTGTCGGTCTGATCTGTTTTATTGAGATTTTTACTTTTCTCTTTTACTTTTCACCCCTCATTTTTTTCTACTAGTGTTTGTTGTCTGTCTGTCTTTCTTAGTTGGACTGGTTTTTAACTTGTTTGTATTGAATAACAAATACTTGTTCATATCTTTATACATAAATTGTAACACATTTTTTCAATATAACATGAATGCTGCTTTATCATTTTAACTTCTTATAGGATTGATATTAGTATTTAGTGTTTCCGGTAAATTTTCCCATGTTTTC